AAGGCTTGGTGGCAAGCACATTTACCTACTGAACCATTTCGCCAACCTCCTACACTGTATTTTTTTTTTAAGGGCTGATAATTTTTGTTGTCCTATAGCTCATTGAAAACCCAACAAGTTTGGTTCCCGCCTCCCCCCCCCCCCAAGATTGTTTGGGCCTTTGTAACTTGGTAGAAAGAGTATGAGGTAACTTCTATGACAAGGTCATAAATGGCAATCATTTACTTCTGAGTTCTTTCTTGAGACCTTTGCCCCCTAGACATAGATATCATGTGAGTTAGCCATGAGAGGTCATTATGAAGAGGAACCTCATCCTCCAGACTACAATCCTATCTAAGTACCCAGCTGACAGCCAACACCAAAGAGGCAGCTGCAGGGAAGAGCCATGTTGAATTCAGTTCCTGCATTACTCAGTGAAGCCACCAGTGTATCACGTATGGAGCAGAGACATATTCTCCCAGCCGAGCTCTGAACAAATCACATCCTTGTGGCCAAATAATTATCATTGCGTCAAACCATGAGGTGTTTCTCAGTCTGTTATCCGATGTTAGATAACTGAACCACTCATATCAGCACGAGAGGTTACTCCTCACAGGCCTTCGCAGAAACAGGGGGAAAAATACTATTTAAAGGACATGTTGAAAAAGGAGAAAAATCAGTCAACAAGGAGTACAGATAGAGGAAGAAGTGATGTACAAAGAAGTTGGCATAGTTGTTGACAAATCTAAGTAACCGTTAACTGAACTATCTAAAGTCACCTATTAATTTGGGACACAAATGTAAAGCTCCAGGGGATACAATGTAAAAGACAGGTTTGTACATAGAATGCTAAGCTTATTTTATTAAATATCTTAGGTATTTCTAGAAAACAAAAAGTTAAGCATATGGAGTAATATGTGAATTAATAGAATGTCTTTTTCATGGCTGAAAATAGTTACGTAGAAAACAATTTGGCATTAATGTATTTTTTTTTTTAAAAAAGATGTATTTATTTATTTTGTATACAGTATGTATGACTACAGGTCAGAATATGGCACCAGATCTCATTACAGATGGTTGTGAGCCACCATGTGGTTACTGGGAATTGAACTCAGGACCTCTGGAAGAGCAGTCAGTGCTCTTAACCTCTGAGCCATCTCTCCAGGCCCCGGCATTAATGTATTTTTTAAATGTAAAACTACTTTAGAAAACAATTTAACATACTCTTATAGAGTTGGCCATACTTGTCCTACAAAACAGCATTTCTGCTCTTGAAGATATTTCAGCAAAATTCTTTGCTGTATGCTAGAGAAGACAGATATTAGAACTTCAGAAACGCAGCCGTCAATGGTAACAAATCAGAGGCCCCTGGATAAACAGAACAGTGTTCACACTCATAGCAGTAAAGATGAGTGAACCTTTACTCACTGTATAACGTGGATTAACATTGTTAACTAATGTTGGATGGAAAAAAACAAGTCCTTTCCAAAACTATCTTTGTATTAATGTGTTCTCTTACATGATCTCCTTTCAATAAATCACTCTTTCTGTAAGGTCCAACAGTACACAGAATCAAGCATCCAATTACATATGCTTGCAATAAAATTATTTTTAATGTATAATTATAAAATACGCTTTTAGGGGCTAGAGAGATGGCTCAACCGTTAAGAACATTTGCAGAGGACCTGGGTTTGGTTCCCAGCTCCCACGTGGCAGCTCATAACCAACAGTAACTTAGTTCCAGGGATCCAAAACTACCTCTTGTGGTCTCTACAAGTACTCAGATAAACATGCGGCACACATACTAACATGCAGGCAAGTACTCCTTCATACAAATCAACAGTTAAGAAATATGATTTTATATCTTCAAAAGGCAAAGGTAAGTGTGGACTTTAGGACAGTGATTATCTACGGGACGTGGTGGGCACGGAGGGCACTCAAGGACTAAAGCCGATGAATAAGGTTAATATATATGATCAGTGATTTTAAAAATTCTTGGTTTGGGTGTATATTTATAATAAGTTTTGAAGGAAGGGTAAATAAAAGTAAAATTTAAAAATAAAATAGAAACCAGAGCTATGGATATAGCTCAATAGCAGAGTAGCTTGTCTAGCATACTCCAAGTCCTGTGTTCAAACTCCAGTACCCAAATAAAATAAAATACAAAACTAACATGAAGAAAACAATTAAAGATCATTCGTGAGCCAAGAATGACAATGTGTTATGATTAATTCAATTTCTTCGCCTGTGATTCAAATACACCATGGTATGTCGATTTAAAATCAATGAGAAGAATTGAAAGACTACCAAGGGGGAAGAGACTATGAAGAGGGACAGTATCGTATCGCCCCACTTCCTGTGACACTCTTATACTTTGCGTGTGTATTTCCAGTTTTCATTATAGATGACAGAAAAGTTCTTTTGCCCTGGTTACTGGAGACCAATCACCTAAACTCCCCCTCCAAGTCCCGGATGAGTGAGACTCTCCTGACTCACTTTCACATACGTCCTTTTGGAATTGAGGAAAAGGGGCTTGCATTTGCTTCCTTTGAATTTGTATTCTTAAAATGAAGAATCCAGTGACCGTGGTATTAGTGCAGTTGCACCTCAGAAACGCATGGCTTAAGACACACGTTAGCAGAAACCAGCCTGGAGATGTCACTCAGCCAAGCGCTCCCAGAAGCTGAGCCCTTAATTGGCCTCATTTGCACCATCTGCTCATCAGTCTTGCTTGTGGAAAAGTATTTTCATCAGATATCAACAAGTTGAAAACAAAGCAGGACACCCACACTACATTTTGTCTGCCTCTTATCAAGGCTTTCAATTACCACATTAAAGAAGCGAATCAGATTACAGCAGTTTCATCACACATTTCACCCCGCCTGTCCGTGTCATCCCTGGGGCATGTGTGGTATGTCCAGAAGCTCTTTCCTCCTCAGGCCTGTCACCTTCAAACTGCTTAGGCAAACACTGGGAGAAACCCTTCCTCCGTGGCTTAGTGGTTATATTCAAACAAATCTTATTTACACATGTCTACCAATCTGGTTACACTATCAGATTTACACATGTCTACCAATCTGGTTACACTAACTATCAGATGTAGAAAAGTTATTCATATAAATACACCGAAATTATAATCTTATGCTGGATGATAATTTGAAGTAAGAATTACTCCTACTGTTTATAAACTCATTTTCTGATAGCCTTTGTACAACTAAAGGTTAATGATAAAAGTACTTATTTATGGATTTCCTATCTGAAACAGCTACTTTAGTATTATGAGTTATCTTGGTCACTGTTCTATTGCTATGATGAGACACCATGACCAAGGGATCTCTTATAAGAGAAAGCATTTAACTGGGGGCTTGCTTATAGTTTCAGAGGTTTAGTCCATTATCATGGCAGGGAGATGTGGTGCCATGCAGGCAGGCATGGTGTGGAAGAAGGAGCTGAGAGCCTCATCCTTATCCACAGGCAGGCAGAGAAAGAAAAACTGGGCCTGACATGGGCTTTTGAATTCTCAAAGCCCACCCCAGTGACACACTTCCTCCAACAAGGCCACACTTAATTCTTCTAATCCTTTCAGATAGTTTCACTCCCTGATGACTAAGCATTCAAATATATGAGCCTGGGGCGCGGGGCATTCTTATTCAAACCACCACGTGAGTTTAAACATGATTTGTTTCAAATAAATTTATATTGTACTTAATTGTTATAACACATTTCAGAATTTGATTTAATATTTAGGGGAAGTTAAAGTTAAATTTTTACTTCTTTGGATCTATGCATACATATTTTTTTACATGGAAAAAATGTGGCAAAAAAATGATAATTTGCCAAGGTGATAATCTATCCAAGGCAAACAAAGCACCTATTAAGTATGAGAATATTAGCATCTTTGTTTTTAACAATCTTGGTTATTGGTGTAAGTGTTTATACTATACCAAATTAATAGTATCTACTGAAAAATTAAATGACAGTCAAAATATATCAATAAAGTATAACTATTCTCAGAGTTATAACCCTCTACTAGAGAACAACAAGAAATAATTTATATAGATGCAAGTTTGTTTGTTCTCTTTTTTCATGGAAAAGCATGTGAACCTGCACACACATGCACATAGACACCACTTAGAATTTTGATCATACTCTAGCATCCATCATAGCAATAAAATATAACATTTTTTGTAGACTGATAAAACTGAAGGGATTTAGCATAGTGGTTTAAGTCTTTTGTTTCCAGTCTATAAACTGTAGTAATTACACTTCCCTCCTAAGTTATTGTACTAATTATAGGAAATACATATAAAAGACTTGGCATGTGCTCAATAAACAGCAGCTATGATTATTGTAAAACATGCCCTGAAAATTTGTGGATATGTTGAGCCAGCTTCAGGAGGTTTCCTCTGATTCTCATTTCCATAGCTAACAGTGTTAGCAATTCTGCCCAAACAACCTATTAGCTTTACTCTACTTTCCATCAATATTTACTAAAAGAGTCTCACATTATTAGAACCTCATTATCATCTAGACAAAAAAAGTGAATTGTTTTGCACATAGTAAATGTGTAAGTAATTCAAACCAATTCCATTCACATTTTGAAGCCACGTTATTCTTAATCTTAAAAATTGTGATGGCTGGAGAAATGGCTCATGGTTTAGAGCACTTGTTGCTCTTTCAGAGGACCCAGGTTCTATTCCCATCACCCACGTTGGGGCCCAAGATCATCAGAAACTCCATATCCAGGGGATCTGACATGCTCTCTGGTCTCAGCACAAGGCACACTCATTCTGCATATACAGATGGACAGACAAAACACTGATACACAGAAAATAAAATAAACACATATTCACAAACATGTATTAATCCCTTCTTAATATGCAAAAGATTTCTTACTTGAGATAATCGTATAGCATAACATTTTATCTCATGCTTAGCAATCTTAAGTAAAGCTTCATTTACCAAAAAGAAAATATTTGATTACATTTATTTATTCATTTGCGGTTTTTTTCATTTGATTTAATAAAGTTTTGTTTTTCCAAATGTACAGCTGATTGAACCTGCTCATGCATCTTCACCAGCAGCTGGGGCATCTCCACCCTTTGTGTTTCTGGTGTAAATTACTTGGGCTCTGCTTTGAAACCAACTGATAAGTCCTTTACTGAGTAACTCCTGAGGGGCTGCCCTGGGCAAAGAACCGCGAATCTTCAGTCTCTCAGAGACCACAGCTGGAGTGATGAGCTTGTAGTTGGGAACCTCCTTACCGAGGTTGTCGTATGCAGCTCTGTCAAACAGGACCAGATTGTTGAGCTTGTCCCGAACTCTGCCTTTGGGCCACTTCTTTTTAGCCTTGCCACCAGACTTATTTACTGGGCCTTTGTCTTTGTTGGCTGACTTTCGGGCATCTTTCTTCTTCTTGGCATCCTTGGGCATCATGATGAAGTTCAGAGAGTGACGATGACCACTACAGCCCCCTTGAGATGTGTGTGTG